CAATTTTTTTTTTTTAAATCAACTTTAAAATATCTAAACGTAACAAGAATTAATTTGCCTCTAGAAAACATTGTTCAGAAATTCAGGCAATAATATCAATTATTCCAATAATTCCCCGCCCACAATCTCCATTGTTGTATTGTAGACGACTAGACGTATTAGAGTGTGCGACGCAAGTTCCACAACGGAGATTGTGTGCGTGGCATTATTGGCGTAATGATGTTATTGCTTTGATCATTATTTGATCAATTTTTGGAATTTCTTGAGCTATAATTAATTAATAAAAAGTACTTGGACTTTTGACACATTACTAATACGTAGGCACCTTAATCCTTAAGTTAAAATATCAATTAAAATAAGTTAAATTACATCAGTAGAAGGATGTTCTATAACGGAGACAATCGCAGTTGGCATCGTTTACGAGGTTCTTAACGTTTAACAATCTTCCGACATAGCAAGAAAGTTGCAGTCTTTTTCACACACCACTGAAAATATTATTGATACAATAATCCAATAGTTTTAGTGTGTGTGAAAAAAACTGTAGCTTTCTTGTAGTGTTGGATGATTGTTGAACATTTAAGAACCCCGTAACCAATGCCAACGACAATTGTTTCCGTTATAAAACATCTTTCACAAATTTAAACAATAACATCAATTACATCGATTATGCCACGTCCACATTCTCCCATTGTGGATCCTGCTTCTCACTCTCGCATACGTTTGCAATATAGCAGTTAGAGTTCTATGACACAGGCCGACATACAAATTCTTCAATACTTGAAGTTTGTTGAAGTTTGTTTGTGTATACTATCTCTATATTGTTGTATTGTAGGCGTATGAGAGAGTCAGAAGCAGCATCCACAATGAGAGAATGTGTGCGTGGCATAATCGGTTTAATTGATGTTATTGCTTTCAACTCTAATTGGTAAACTTTTCGAATTTCTTAGAACTGAAATCCACAATGAATCACGACCTTAAAAAACGAATGCCTAATATTGAAACTTAAAAGAACTACGTGGACTTTGATTCCCAATATAAGGGGTACGTAGGCACCTTAATTGACATATGATATACTATACTTATTAAATGTCAATTAAGCTCAAGTCCTTTTTTTTATCAACTTTAAAAATATTGGATTATTGTATCAGATTAAAGTGAAGTGTTGTTGACCGAATGTAAGCTTACCGGTATATTGTTCTGCATTCACATCACTTTAAATTGAGTTCATCGTCCCCGAGGATGACTAAGTGCGTGTCACATTACTCTACTTTATGCTAGAGCAAGTTTATTAGAGAGTTGAAAACATAATATATATTATATAAAGAAGACCGTGGGCGTGGTATCATTGGTGTCATTTGATGTTTGTTTGTTAATTTGGATACGGGATACCAACACGGCGCACCACACCGACACGATTCAGCTCTCGACATCTTCGCCATTGATTTTCCACTCCACCAGATTGTAGAAGTTCAACATCAAATAAATACAATAACATCAATGACATCAATGATCCCTCGCCCACAGTCCTCTTTATATATTATGTTTTCAACTCTCTAATACACATGCTAGAAGGGTAAATTAGATAAATTTGACACAAACCTGGCCATTGTCAAAATTCTTACTGAATTTTCCAAGAAATGGTTGCAAAACAATATACCGGTAAGCTCGCATTCGAGTCATCCATAATTCACGTTAGTTTAATAAAATACTCCAATAGTTCTAGTGTGTGTGAAAAGGACTGTAGCTTTCTTGTAGTATTGGATGATTGTTGAACATTTAAGAACCCCGTAACCGATGTTAACGACAATTGTTTCCGTTATAAAACATCTTTCTCAAATACATATGTTAATTCAATAGTATCTTGAGTTTCATCAACGTCATCATGCAATCCGACTCCAATACACAGTCTGTAGTAATATATCCGTTCTTTTTGTTAGTATCCTCAAGCATGTTACTTAATAGATGTTGTCCAAGTTATCATCTTTGGTATGCAAGATGTTGATACTATTATTCCACAGTCCCATACGGGTACATACCTTTTCACGCATAACTGGTACCGTTGGATAATGATATAAAACTAATGTCAAATGTTGATGACTCAACTGCAAGTTTACCATAACATTATTTTGCATCCCTTTTCTCGACATTGAGTACGTATTTAAAAGATAACTAAGTCTGTATAAGCTTTCTGTTGTTTGTGTTATAGCAGGCGTAACCTCGCATTGAAAGCATAATATGTAATGGAGAATATTGACCTGATATCATTGTCCTAAATGAAGTTAATGTTTTGAGTTCATCTTCTAAAGTTCAAATATTAACTCAAAAACATTAACAACAAAAGGGAATTGTGATGTCATGTCAATATTCTTTATTATGTATTATGCGTTCAATTCTAAATTTCGCTTGCTATGACACAAACAATAGAACGTTTATACATACTTAGTTATCTTTTGAATTCTTACTTAACGTCGAGCAGAGGAACGCAAAATAATGTAATGATAAAGTTGCAGTTGAGTCATCAACATTGAACATTAGATTGATAGCATTATCCAACAGTACAAGTGATGCGTGAAAAGGTATGTACCCTTATGGAATTGTGGGATAATTGTACCAACATCTTGTACACCAACGATGATAACTTGGAAGACAACTTCCGTTAAGTAACATGCTTGAGGCCGCTAACAAAAAGAACGGATATATTACTCGAGACTGTGTATTGGAGTCGGATTGCATGATGACGTTGATGAAAATCAAGATATTGTTTAACTAACATAATAAAATTGAATTTTGCAAGTCCTACGAAATAACACTATACCGGCGGAACCGCCGATCAATCAAAACCGGTAATACATCTCAACATATTTTTTATTTACCAAAAAAAAAAAAAATAAAAAAGAACCCGCGAACCGCCGGAACCGGACCGAACCGGCGGAAAACCGGCGGGTCCGGGCCCAGAACCGGTCCCGGACCGCCCCCTTTTCCGGTCCGAGCCCGGGCCTCGTCCAAGCGGACCGTCGACCCGGCGGGCCGGGCCGGTCCCGGACCCGTTGACTGGCCACGCCTATTTTTAGGTAAACAAAAAAAATAAAATAATGAAAGATAGTGGATGATGTCATATAACAATTTCTTTTTTATTTAATTTAATAAGAGGCATTTAAATGGAAGATTAATATAGGGGTAAGGAGTGAAATAGAAAAAAATTAACCTTAAGGACTGACATTAAAGATGGAATTAGGATTGAGAATTTTTAAAGAAAGCTCCTAGTTTTGATTTTTTTGTTGCATTCAAGTTTGTGTTTGTTGGTATGTTTAGGGGTCATTTGTGTCTAGGCCACCGTGTAGGTGTGTACTTTCATTTAATTTCAGTTTGAGGTTTAATTGGTCAGGTCTTTATCAGTTGTATTAAACATTCACTACAACATAAATGACTTTAGGTAGCAGCATCTATGGTAATACTTTACAAATTATTGGTTTATGTATCATATTATTGTAACAGTTTATATTAAAAATGTTACAATAATATGATACATAAACCAATCATTTGTAAAGTGTTTCAATAAATGGTGCTACCTAAAGTTGTAGTGATTGTTTCGGCTTTGGTTTTATTATGTCTTTTAATTAACATAAGAATAGTGTCTAGCAGTAGACATGTCAAAACGGGCTGGCGGGGCGGGGCGGCCCGTAGCCCGTCGAAACCCGCCATTTGGCGGGGCGGGGCGGGCTGGCCCGCCATACT